TTTTGCTTTTGTTTTTAATTAGATGAGCAGGGAAAGAGGGAAATTCTCCTTTGCAAAGCTGTGGTTATCTCATGATATTTGGAAGAATATAAACAGGAGTGTTTAGATATAGTCACTCACTTTCAACAAATATTTAATGTGTCCCATCAAAAGCTAGATGCTTATCTAGGCACGTAGGACACCATGCATATAATATGTAAAGATGAATGGTGTTCAGTAAGTGAAGTATGGAAAACTGAAGGAAAGCCTAGAACTGTGTAATAGGGGTGTGATATGTGCAACCACATCTGTTGTTTTCATGGAAATAGATCTGTTTTTGAGAAAAATAAGTCTGGAAGGCCTACCATGCGAGTGGTGGGGGTATAAGAGGCACTGGAGCAGAGAGCCCAGGTCTATATAGGAGGCTATAATAAAAAGCTAGGCAAAGACTAGATCTGAATAAAAAGCGGACCAGAGCAAGGAGATATTTAAGAAGTAAAGTCAGGAGGACCTAGGGACCAACTGCCTGTATACCTGCTCTGTGTACCTGACCTAATGTACCTGCTTTTGTCACCCACACATCTTCATGTTTGTATCATGGGCACACAGTACTGCGGTTGGTTGTTTACATGTCTGTCTCACAATGAGCTCGGGGGTTCTTGTGGACTGGATCTTTTCCTTAGTCATCTTTCTGTCCTCCAGGCCTTAGCACGATGCCTGACACATGGCAGTCACTCAGAAAACATTTAAACAAACTAATTAATAAACTAATAAACATGGGAGTGATAAAGAGGGTAGAGTCAAGGAATCTAGATAGAAAGTGATATAATCAGGGATATAACAGGAGGTAAGTTTTTTGGGGAGAAGACAGTGAATTGGGTTTGGAGTTTTCATTGAACTTGAGGTGCTTGCAGGAATCACTGACCACCCATTCTCTCCCTGAGGGCAGATGTCTGTAGATACTAGGTAGAAGGCTTCCTTTATGGCCAGAAGCTGTCTAGATCCCTCCCAGTCAAACTCAACTCATAAACACCACTAAGGGAGAAAGTGTCCCCATCCATTAGTCTAAGGACCAGCTCAGGTGGTGATAGAGATAAGCAAAGAAGATAAGCAAGGAGAACCAGCTAAATTGCAGGTTCAGAAAGTGACAAGGATGGGTGAGTTTATTGAGGCTAAACTTCTGGAGGGCCTACCAGGCCAGTGTAAACATTCAAACTTAAATTCCTGAGCAATGGAATGATCAATCCAGGGCCAAGTGGTCCCTCTCTGGAACAGGTCAGCTCCATTCCACTTCAAGCCTCAGGGAATTTGCATCCCCTGACCAGCTCTCTTAAGAGACACCAAGCAAAAATTCCTAATCAATGCATAGAACTCAGATTCCTGGGGAGAGAGCTCAAAGAGCATAACCTTAGTAATGATAAACCCAAAGCACATCTTTCTATATGGAGAATCAATCATACAATCATTATATAGTTAGAGGAAAACAGGAAACTTGGAAGAGGCAAGTAGGCTTTGAAGAGAAAGGTGGTGTGTTGAGTTTCTGACCCATTAGAACCCACTGGGTTAAGGTGATTGAAAGGTTTCTGTGCAGAGATGCCCTAAGGCCAACCTGCACAGCCACTGCTCAAGAGCTGAGAGAAGAGGCTTGGCAATGCTCATCTGGGAGTCAGTTACAGGGAGGTGGGAGGCGATGCACTGATGTTCTCCATGGAGAGGGGATGGAGGGGAAGGTTAAGTACTAAATAATGGGGGATGTGGAAGAGATGGCAAAAGAGACAGGAACAGGTGAAAAGAGAAGGAGATGGCCATTCTTTCTCTTTGCTCCTTTCCCTTCCTCTCTCTTCCCCTCCATATTAGAGAGCAGATGTCTTCCTCCTTCCCTCAGTGAGTGCCTTGGGGTGAGGATGCTGCCCTTACTCAGACTCAGCATCAACTGCATTCAAGTCAGCAGGAAATCAAAGGGAAAAGGGACACCTAAGAATTTAGCCTTGAGAGGCTACCAACCTGTCCCAATGGCTGGGAGGCAAATGGTCGAGTGATTCCGTTTTTCACACTCTCGCAAAACACGGGTAACTGATCTCTTGACATCAGCTCCACCAACGACATGAATAATATTCTTGCACTTCAGAGATCCACCATCAGTAATTATATAACCATTGTTGTGCTGTTGAGCTAAGAAACACAAAACAAAAAGATGCAAAATCAGATGCTGAACCTACTCTCTGATTGTTTACAAAGCAAATGTCTGCTTTGTCAAATAAAGCATTTCACGCCAATAAGAGACTCCTGAAATACTACCTCTGATGAATCTGTCTCGCTTACCTTCTCTTTTTAGCCATGATCTCACTTTTCACTCCTCTTCATTTCTAGTTCTCTATGAGTGGAATTCTTTAGTAAAATGTATTATTTTAAGATTAATATGTTGTCTCCCTCTCCACAGCTTCCCACATTCAGCCTTCCACTTATACTTTATTTTAGCACTGAAAAGCAGCATCGTGACTTACCTAGGCGAGAACATTCTGTTTCCACATTTTGTCCAGCCTTTTCCAAAATTGCTTTGGAGACCCCTACATGAGAACATCAACATATTTGCAAACATGAATAAAAAATCAGTACAGTACATTTGGATCAGAATGATTGCCTCATTATCTAAATGCTTTCCCCATCATTGAAGGAATCTTACAACCTGGACATTTCTGATCAAAAGAAGAAAAATTCATAAAAAAAGTGTTACCAATTATAAGAAACCATGTCAAAACAATGTTAAAATTATTAATTCATATTACTAAGCCAAAGTTGTGGAAACCAGTTTGGCTATAGCAACTGTAGAATGTTTCGTTATCGTTATAGAAACCCTCCTTCAAGAGATCTACTGTGACCATTACTGTAGCAACAGTCCTACAAGTAAAGTACCTGCTTTGTGATCAAATGTCTTTGTTGTTGAATTCACAATCACATCTGCTGCTTCTTTAGCAATATCTCCAGTGGCCACCTGGAAGGTGATGGGGCCAATTTTCATTTCGTACACTCCTGAAGCAGGGCTGGTAACAGTCCCATACAAACCTAAAAAGAAAAAATGGTGTTAATAATGAAGTTAACAATAGCAAGAATGACTTAAATCTCATGCTCCTCACTTATGTCCCGCCCATACTTCTCTCCCTCTCCACTGTTTCTCTGGCCTTTAACATGGTCCTGACCCTTAGTCCCAAGGACGGTCTATTTCTGAAAAAGCATTATAAAATATAAAACATATCAAACATGGGCTTCAGGTACTGGCCAAGGTGAAGTCAGCCCGTGAGAGCCTATCTCTCCAATTGATTACAATGATAACAAGGGACAAATACAATATCTACTAACTGAGGACTGAAAAGTAAGCAACAGCAGGCAGATTGGGGAGGGGAGTCAAAACCTGAAGAGGCAACCTGTAAAGGGGGAAGTTTTGAAGTTTTCCTCCTTTCTCTCCCAGCTTTGACACAAGGGTGGCCCTAGTTGTGGAACTGCACAATGAGCACAGGTATCAAAACTCTCAGAGGATCCCTGTGGCCAGAGGATTGAGAAAAGGAGGCCCTGTGAGCTGAAGAGTATGGAAGGAATCTTCCTTATTTTCCATATTTATTTTTTTAAATCCAGGCCCTATTCCTAAGGTGACCCCAGTTGCAGAACTCCATAGTGGCACCACAAGGAGTTAAAGCTCTTGGAGTTCTGTATTTTTGTCCAGAAGATACAAGGAAAAGGGTCCCTGCAGTCTGAAAAGTGTACATGGCTGTGTGTGGGAAATCCTGTTATTTTTCTCTCTTCTCTCTCCCCACTTTGCCCGAGGACAACCTTGATCACACAAAGTTATGTAGCAACAGAACAAGCAACTTAAATGCCAAGAGACCACTGTCTCTCTGGGGAGAGGCCTAGAAAATGGGCTCCTGCAAGCCAAGAGTGTGAGGGGAGTTCTGCTGAGGGGATAGCTGGAGAAGGTGGACCCAAGTTCTGTGACAAACTGGAGTAAATCCTAAGCCCACCCAGGAGCTGCACATGGGGGAGCCGTCCCAAGCAGCACAGCAAAGGCTCTGAGAACTGAAGTGACATGGGAACGCCTCCCATAGAAGGTGAGACAGGACTGTTAGGATGAACTTAACTGACTGACTGCCTGCTAAAACAATTACCATTTTCCAGGAGATTTTTAACAAGACCCAAGTGTCACAACATAATAATGAAAATAACCAGTCTATTATCCCAAACTGCTTGTCATACAAAGAACCAAGAAAATGTGAGCAGTTCTCAAGGGTAAAGATACTCAATATAAATGCTTATGTCAAGATGACCCAGATGTGGGACTTATCAAAGACTTTAAAGTATCTACTACTATAAATATGCTCCATGAGGTCAAACTAAATATATTTGAATGAATGGAAATGATTTGGAATGAGTGGAAAATTAGGAGTCTCTGCAGAGAAATATAAATTAAAATCAAATGGACATTTTAGCACTTATAAATACAATATCTAAAATTTTAAAAATTTCATTGGATAAGCTCAACAGTAGACAGAAAAATGAGTCTGTGATCTTGGAGGCAGATCAATAAAAATTATCCAATCTGAAGAACAGAGAAAAATGACTAAAAGAAAAAAGAACAGATCCTCAGGGACTGGCAGGGCACTATCGAAGGGTTAACATTCATGTTATTTGAGCACCAGAGGAGATAAGGGAGAGATAAGTGCAGGAAAACTATTTGAATAAATGACTGAAAAATTCCAAAATTTGATGGAAGAAATATATATTTAGATTCAAGAAGCCTCAGAAAACTCCAAATAGGATAAAGCCAAACATGTAACAGCAAATTTGACAGAGAAGCAGCATTTGGTTGGTATTGTCTCTTTAAATGTGTCTATTTCCAAAAACACAGGTCACATCATCCTTAGGAAATACTAGCCTCATCACTACTTAAAGCCCTCTGTACAGATTATCTAACTTGGATTGCTTAATCTTCCACTCAAGATTGTCAATCCTGGCCACTGTCTTGCATGCTCGGGTGTATGGAGTATGATTTAATATCTCCGTTCTCACAAATAGATTTTTTTCATAAAAATCATCACTGCCATCTTTCATTATCATTAAGTAGTCATTTAACAACTAGAAATGATTTCTTAATTTAGTATTTTTTTCTGAACCCCAAAAAAGAACAACAAAAAAAGAATAAAATAAATTTAGGAAAAATGAAAAGATATCTCTACTGAACCTTGTGTATTCTGAGCCTTGGGAATTCTGTCACTGATGGAATTTCCATTAGCTCTTCTGTCAAATTCATCTGAAAATGCCTAGAAACACAAAGACAGTTTTGATTACTACAATCCTTAGTAGATGAATGAATTTGATTCATCACAGGTTATGATCATGCATGCACAAATATTGATGAGAGAACAATTCTCAAAGTATTATTATTATCATTATGTATTTTCAAAGTTATGAAAATACATATATTATTTCTACAAATGCATCCCATCAAAATTATCAAAGATGGGAACAAAGATATAAATACAAAAATATTCATTATAGTGCTATTTAATAAAATCAAGAAGAAAATAAAACAGTTTAAAATCCAATAGGGAAATGGTTAAATACATTTTAGTATATCCCTGTGTTAAAATATTTAGCAGCCATTAGGAATTGCATTTTCAAAGAGTAGTTAATAGAATAGGGAAGTACTCATTTTACATTATTAGATGAAAGAAGATTAACTTTAATTATATTTTATGACACCACTTTGCAAAGTAGCACATATGTATAGAAGAAGACCATAACAAAATATGACTAAGGTAATTTTTGCATTTTGCATTGTTCAAAGTTTCTATAATGAATATATATTTCTTTCATATTAGGTAAGAGCAAGTAAGTTGCCAGTTGTTAAGAGAAAGACAATCATAAGAACCAAGATACTTCAGTTTTTAACTTCTTAATTGTACCAGAATAGGAATGGCTAGTGGTGTAGTGCATTTTGGAGCAAGAGGCTGTATTTTAGGTTTAATGAATCTGTGAATTCCATTTCTTTGCCTGGTAGAGGCACCCCACAATCATCACATTTGTGTAACAAGCAACAGATAATTTTGTTGGTAAAAAACAAAAAGTACCAAGTAACATCTAGGCTGAAAGGCTGATACAATAAAGGGATAAGGACAGGAATAGACTATAGACCTCCAGGGCCAAGGCAGGAAGCTACAAATGTAAAGGTAAAGTGATGTGACTCTAGAGGACAATACAGCACCTGCCACTCAGCCACAGCAAACTGTTCAGACAGAAACCCATACCCAATGTATCAGAATGTCACAGTGGATATCTGGAGTGTTATGTGAAACAAGATGCCCGGTGCATGAAATTCATAAACTCGGGGGGTCCTTCAGCCCAGCCTGCACCCTCTCAAAGTCCTGGAGCCCTTGCGGGATGTCTGAACAAACAGCTTAGCCTGCTCCCAATGGGAGTGAGCCTAAGTCTGCAGTTGGAAATCCTTAGCATTGCTGTGCAGGTGGGAGAGGCTTCCGCCACCACCGCTGCACTCACCAGTCGTGAGCCTGGCTTCTGGCTGAGAGGCACTCCTCCTGTGGGAGCACACTGGCCATCAGGGGGCAGCTCCTGCTTTGAGCGTCTGCCCCCTGGTGGCCAGTGTACATCATAGCGACTGGTCTTTCTGCTGTTTGGTCAATTTGCATATTAGCTTTTAATTACATAGGATGTTTGATTTGAAAATATTAGCAACTGATTCAAAAACATATCTAGAGGCCATGTTCAGACCATGGGCTGCTGTTTTGTAACCTCTGTTACCTCTAAACATCTCAATAAGTTTGTTGTTGTTTTTGTGTGCAAATATAACCAAAGTTTAACTGTCTTCAAAAGTCTTAAGTGAAAAAGTGTTACAGCCATGTACAGACAATCAATACTATTTCCAGTGGCAGTAAAGGTGTCTGTAGAGACTAATCCTTCTCCTGAATACTTGCAGAGGAAACTGAGCCTTTAGGAAAGGAAACAGGGCCTGGGGTTGCACAGCAACAATGAAATTTGAAGGTTCAGGTCCATGTCATAGGACTTGCTCCCCTATTCACCCATTCAAAAACGCTCAGCACTTTCTCTCTAATTTAGTTCATTTTATGTGTATAAATCTTAGCTCCCAGAGTAATTATGATTGACAGGAGGGGAAGTATGTGCTACATACCTATCCCATGATCCACATCACCTTGTATAATGTGGGTCATAGGGGGGTTGTTCAAAAGCATTTATTGACTAGAAATTACTATAGTTATTCAGACCAACTAAATGGACTGTATTATCTTGCTCAGGTGGTTTGGTTGTCTGAATAGAATTTAGATTAAAATTGTTTGCTTTGTAAGAACTTAAAGGTAGTATTTAGATCCAGAAAAAAATTAACAATGACTTAAAAATTCAAATGGTCCAATGATTCATGAACATCTCTTGGGTTGCTGGCCTTGATCTGATCATTTAATTCTTGCACTACCATGGAAGTTTTCAAACATTTAATGTCATTTATTCTACTGGATTCTAAGGACTTGGAGGCAGGGATAATGGACTCTTATTAAATGCCTCTTGTTCTCTCATAATGTAGAGTCCAGCGGCTCACCTATAGCTGATGTTCAGCAAAATGAGAGCTGGTCGATGGACTCTCTATGAGTGAAGATGGTCCTAGTACTCCTGGTACCAACTCTCCTATTCCAGCAGGTGTGGGGTGTGCTGAGTTCATTCTTATCACATCCTTCAGTTGTATTTCATCCTGACAATCTTCTATTTATAGAACCAAAACTATGCTTTTATATTATGTATTAAAATTTCTGTGTTCATATGGAAGGAAATCCTATAGCTTAAAAGAAGGTTAAGGACATGTCAAGTCAATTGCAATATATGGGCCTTATTTGGATTCTGATTCAAACAAACAAGCTGTAAAATCCAAACATTTATGAGACAGTTGGAAATTTGAACATTAACTTGATAATTGATGAAATAAAGGAATGATTGTTAATTTATTTTATGAGTGAAAATAGTATTGTGGTGTTGTTACTTTTTTTTTAAGTGAAGGGAAACTCTTTTTTTTCTTTTTTAAAAATTACATTTTTATTGACTTGAGGAGAGAGTAAGTGAAACATGGATGAGAGAAAATATTGATTGGCTACCTCCTACATGCTCAACAGAGATCGAGCCTGCAACCCAGGCATGTGTGCTGACTGGGAATCAAACCTGTGACCTCTCAGTGCATGGGACAATGCTCAACCAATTGAGCCACACCAGCCAGGGCCATGCTGTTGTTACTTTTTAAATTCCAAAGTCTAAAAAAATACTACTTGTTTATGGGTAAAATTATATCTGTGATTTGCTTCAAAATAATATGGGGTCCTGGCAGAGTGGCTTAGTTGTTTGGAGTGTCATCCATACACCAGAAGGTTGTGGGTTGGGCACATACTTAGGTTTCAGGTTCGATTCCCAGTAGGTGTGTGTGTGATGTTTCTCTCTCTCATTGATGTCTCTCTCTCTTTCTCTTTCTCTCTCTCTCTCTCTCTCTCTCTGTCTCTCTCTCTTCTCTTTTTCTCCCTTCCTCTCTCTCTCAAAACAAAAATCAATAAAAAAATTCTTGGGTGACAATTAAAAATAAATAATTTTAAAAATAATATGGGAAGAAAGGCATAAATGGAGATAGAGATAAAACATATTAGCCATAGGTTGATAATTGTGAAAATGAGTGATGGCTATAAGGGAGTTTATTATACTACTAGAGGCCCAGTGTAAGAATTCATGCAGAGGTGGGGTCTGGCCGGCCCGGCCCCAATTGGAGCAGATTAGGACTGGGCCTGGTGGGAGGAGGAGATGGTGGGAGGTTGGCCAGCTGGCTTCACCCCCTATTGTGGTGAGGGGGTGATCAGGGGCAGTGACCAGGAGGAGGGGCTGAAGGCCTATCAGGATGGTGGGGGCCCATCAGGGGCAGGGCTGGCTGTGGGGAGGGAATGCAAGAGGTTGGCCAACCAGCCCCACCTTCTATTGGGGTGGGGTGTGTGATCAGGAGTGGGGCGGCCAGGGGAGGGTCTGCAGGAGGTTGACCGGCCAGCCCTGCCCCCTACTGGGGTGAGGGGGTAATCAGGAGTGGGGCCCAGTGGGGGGAGTGGCTGTGGGCTGATCAGGGTGGTGG